AAAATTAAAATGCAAAAAGTAATAAAAGGTGATCCATTAACTGGGTTTAAAGTGTATGAAATGCATGAATTAATGAATTGTTTTGTAATTAATGAAATGTATGAATTTACAGAAAAAGCAGAAAAACCAGCTTTCTGATATGGCATGAAACTCTTTCAAAACCACAATCCAAAGGATTTTCACCTCTTACTTCGAGTACTGGATTATAATTGTAAGCATCAATCAGACACAAGCTACGAAAAACAAGGTGTTCAAGGGCAAAAGAGCATGGTTAATGACCCCCTTACTAAAACCACACACTGATTAACAGCAGAGTTTCGTTATAAACAATATCTAATAAAAGAAACGTTCAAATTTAGAAACCCTTTCGGCCATTAAGAACCTCACCTGATTGTTTTAAAATTTACCATCGTCAAACAAAATCTTTTCTTTTTCAAATAATCAGAAAAGAATCAAATAGAACGTTTATTTTCTCAAGTAAATTACCTGTTGAAGAAGGTCCCTTTGCATAGCAAGAACCTTCTTGCTCTTCTCAACGGTGGCATTAAGTGTATTCTCAGATTCAGAGCCTCCAACACCTTCAGCATTTGTTGCTTTCACATTCTTCGTACTCCATTGCTGTCCTCTGCTGCAACCAGCTCCGAGTCTATCACCGAACAGAGAGCCCCCACTTGTTGGATCGCCTAAAACAGCTAAAACTCTAGAATTTCTAGGCCTTGGCGTGGAGAAAGCCGAACTGGGTCGTTGCTGCTTTTTATTGGAAACAAGAAGACAAGTCTCAGCTTTCGTTTCAACAATAAAAGGTAAAGGTCCAATAGACGCCATTTATGTGTTCGTCAAATTGTCTCCAAGAACCAACAACAAGATAATGAATCACAAAATCTGAGACGATATTCCTGAACCGAGACTGACCCAGTTGAGAAAACTGGGAAATAAACAGACCCAATTGATGAAGTTGGAATCTGAGATGATACAATGAGGAAATTTATGGCGATTGAAAGTGAAGAAGAAGAAGGAGAAAGCATGAATATGACTGGGTGAGGATTTTGTTGATGTGGGTGGTAGGACCAGTGGATGGAAAATCATAGAGGTGGTTAATTTGAGGTTGAGGTTAGCTGAGAAAGGAGGAACAGAAGCGAGGTTTCTGCCAAGCCATTGCCACATGTTGATCATTCTCTTCGCAGAGAAAAATGGGCCTGTGGCTATGGTGTGGGCCTCTAGACTAGAGTTTGAAAAGGTTGCTGCATCGCCACAGCAAGATCCCAAAATATCAGTAAGTGATGACAAGGAAGATGATGATGGATCCAATTGTATATGTCAATTTTGATGAATTCGAAAACGTGATTGAATTAGTAATAATAAAAATGTGATTGAATTCTCTTCAAAAGATAAAAGTTTTGCCAAAAATATCTATAATAATGACAAAAGCAATGAAAGCAGCAGAAGGAGAAGCAGAATCAGTGTTAATGTTCTATGAATTCCCACGTGAAGAGACAAAAAAGGTTCACTGAATTCAACTTAATTATACAATATTTAATATCATCAAATCCTTGAACTTTGACTTTTAGATTAACCACCACCGTGTTGGTAAAAGGTTGGATCCTTTTTAGATGTTGTCTGTTTTTTTTTTTTTTTTTTGAGTTGTTATCAGAAGTCTTTGCTAATTAATGGAGAGCATGTTGCCACAGTAGTTGACTCCGAATTGTGAAGCTTTATGGTAGTTTCTCTATTCAATTACACTACACTTTTTCTCCACAATTTTTAAGTATTATACTTAATCATTCTACTTTTCAAAATTAAATAAAAAAAATTATTATATTATGAAATATCAAATGTAAATATATAGTCAGATAGAAAAATTTTTACTAAAAAAAAAAATAAACAGAAATTTTGATGTAAGTATTTAATAAACTTTAACATGATTATCGAAATAAACTAAACCCGACGTGATTATCAAAATGAATTTTGAATTCTAGATAGAGATTGTAACGATGTTAAACTAAAAATTTAACTCAACTTACCTTGATATACCATTATACTTATTTAAAATAACATGATTGATCTCATAAATTATTTGTATAGTTCAAACAACGTATGCGTTCAATAAATAATAAGTTCATTAAACTAAACTATATAAATTCCTTAATGAAATTTATTTCATTGTCAAGCATACAAGATTCATTATAACAATAATGCATGTTAGTCAATTATATTGGGAGTGTTCCATTTTATTTTAATATTATTAACTTATAAATTTTATGATTACTAAGTATATTATAAAGTTAAAAGGTACATGAGTGTTAATAAAGAGTACATCATTTTCAAATAAAAAAACTTATATTTTATATGACTGGAGGTATTTAATCTAAAAAAATTTTTTAGTTGAAAGTGTGACTAATTAGAAAAGAAATTTCTACTTTGATTTTGGGATTAAGCTAGCCAGTCATATTACATGGTGAGGAATGACATTAGTTTGACTTTGCAATGCTCCAAATCTAAGTTGGGTGCATCATAATGTTGCAGATCTATGAAAAATCTAGTAAATATGTAAGACCTAAATTCAATCTCGAATTAACTAAAGTAAAGCTCAAACACTATACAATAATAAATGCTTTAAGTTACAATTTTACTTGAAAATTCAAACAATTTAAACTTCTTACATAAAATAATTTTTCAATTTAAATTCAAAATATAATCAATATATTTAACTTTCTATATTAAAAGTTTTTAATCATTCACACATCCTAATTTTTCTTTGTGCAACTTATTTTTTATACATGAGTTTAAAGTCTTTTGGTACTTGGGATAATCCTCCATCACCTTCTCCCAGTTGAAAGAAGTCAATCGATAAAGAATGAGAATGAATATACCATTCTCAAAATCAAGAATTTGTTGTTTTTAATTCATTTTCGGAGAATAAGTAGTGTTGAACGTTAGATGATCTCTCTATCTTGAAAACCACAATTTTATCGAGAGAAATTGTGACCTCTCTATCAAGTACACTATTGATAATCTATGAATTTTGAAAGTTTAGGGACCAATTTGCATGTTCTGACTTATAGGACTGTAAGTTGTCAATCCTTCCACATTATAAACATGACTAACATTTATTCAAGAAATTAGTATACCAAGCTTATATACATTAGGTCCTAATTTGTGAAAAATGGCTAATATAGTACAACTGCAGTGGCTCATTAGTTTCCTTTGTTTTCACTTGGAGCAAAATCTAGCTTAATGTAACTAGAATTGTATTTTCATCCATTCAAGGATTGATTAATAATATGTTCAAGAATCTGGAAATAATCGACAACTGCCAGTTCTGAAGAGCTTTCCTTTGTTGAAGTGTATGCTGTCAAGCTTTTCTTGGCACCATTTGAGTTGAGAGGAAGACACCGCAGACATTTGAAGCACTCTTGACACCAGTTTCATGTCTATCATTGTGAATAGCATCTCCATTTTCTCAGATTCTTCAACTACTGGTCTTATGCCTTTTCTAAAGCGGCATTTCTTTTTACCCTGAAAATCTTTGAACCATATCTCCTTCTGCAAATTACATATTTTTCCTTAATTAATTACACATTTATATTAATTTAATAACAAGTGGAAAATTAAAAAGTACCTTTTGGAGGTTTCTGGTGAGATGAGATAGTAGGTCAACGTCTCTTGGATCTTCTACGGGGGAAAAACTCCAGAGTGAAGTTGTTAATTTCCACCAAAGCTTTTGATTACGATCTGTTTGAACAAGAACCCAGAAAGCCTCTGTGCACTTCTCTATGGCTCTTAATACTTGCTTTACGTTTCTTTCAACTTCTTCATCATTTTCTTCTGCAACAAACCCTTCAAGAAAACGCAAACCACATCTCTGATTTATTATATTCTCTGAGAAAATAGCTATATTGATATATAATATATCAGCAAACAAGTTATTAGTCTTGTTGAATATTGATATATTACTGTTTATATATGAAGTTACTAAAATGATAAATACAAGTACGTTTGTTACCTGAAAGCTTTGGGACTTGAAGAAGGCTTTTGAGAGCAAATCTTCCTCTAACGAAATTCCAAACTCTCTTTCCCTCATACCTTTCATCTTCTAAAAATCTCTCTAGTAAAACCTGAAACCTTTGGAATTCTCCGGCTACATTATCATGAAACCTGCGATTTCGAACACCAGATGTGTCGAGATTTTTGACCTTTATATATTGATGATGGAGAGCCTCCCATGACAAGCATAACTGAGCCACGTAGACCAGCTCAAAATCACTTTCTATGCTTTTCAAGAGCCTTTTCCTAGCCATTTTGTCCCATGATAAGAGACTGCAGTCCTTAGAATTAATGCTTTCAGATGAAGTAATACTTGACTAGTTTCCAATTGTATGTTCTTGATTGCACCTACAATATACCCAATTTCAAGTTAATCAGAAATCTCTTACAACTTTTTTTTTGTATTTTTTAGTCTTTTCTTTTTGGGGTCGAGGATACCAAATTGTTTAAGAATTAGTAGGTGAAGAAAAATAGATATAAAGATACCTACTTATTCCACATGTTCTATCATAATTGAGAATATCAAACCATCCCATTCTTTCACAGTACTCCTTGTAGAATCCATCTGATTCTTCATCACCATGATCCTCCTCTCTATTACTAACAATAACTTGTCTTTCCACAGCTGATAAAATATTGGAGCTGTAGATTGATCTTGATCTCCCTGAGCTTGAATCTTGAGCCGGTGACTCTTCAATTGAATCTTGAAGCAGTAAATTTGAACAACAAATTGAGGTTGAACTCTCATTGGAGCTGTGCAGAGATGAATAACTCTCACAATCTGAATCCACAATACCAGTAGTTAAAAAGATTGAGCTTTGAGCTGCACGGTAATCCTCCTTCCTTTCAAATTCATCTTTCTCATAATCTAACAACTTCAGCTGGCATCTTATTGGTGTTACCCTTAGAAAACTATGTGATTCTACAAGTTGGCTGAGCATATAAATAACTTGTACTGCAATCTCTAAGTTACCAGTTCCTTCTCTAAAATCAACATTAGGAACTTTGGTAGATGAGAAAATAAAGGTGATAAAACTTTTGAAGAGTCTGAAAACAGATAAACCTGGAAAATAAATTAGTCTAAGTGGGTAAGAGACAAGAAGTAAAAGCCATGTATTCAGCAATTTAAGCCAGACAAAAAGTAGGCAAACAGAAACAAAAACAGGATGGATATGGAAGCTTAAGTAAAACCATTTTAGCTTTCCATCTGGGATAACGAAAGATTCGATGATTAACCAACAATTTCCAAGCAAACCCATCTGATCACACTCACTTTTTTTTTACATGATTACTCCTGTATATGCATGAAAATAGTTATGCGTGTGTGTGTCCCTATATTGCAGTATGTATTTTCCTAGTTGGAATTAGATGGAAAGATTAAGCAGTTGCAGGGTCGTCTAGCTATTAAAAAGGAACGAACCCAGAAAGAGCCGTATTGAGAACTTGGCACATTGATGGAGGATTTATAAATTATATAGGGAGTTTTTTAGTTTTTTTACTTGAATAATATATTGTATATGGCAATAAATTCGTACATATATTAATTTGCTGAATAATTTCTTTGGTGCTTTCTGTCAATGTACTTGCTTACTCAGACACTATCCATAAATAGTTAAATAAAATAAAACGGCAATAGTCCGATACGTAACTCTCATATTGGTCAAAACGCTTTTATTTAAAGTTTGGACAAATTAATAAAATTCTTTGAGCTTTTATTAGGAAGTACCCATAAAAGAAAAGGGTTTAGATATCCCTTACATATATATATATATATATATTATATATTATATATACGTATATTGACATATGCGCCCCTAATCTGACGCTCCCTTCCTTTTCTTTATTAGACAGCCAAAATTTTGGTTGGACGAGACCTGGAGTCAAGCGGTCGTCCAAATTCTTCATCCACCCGAGCCTGCCGCAATTAGGGGCTCCAAGCTCAGATAAGGCTGCACTTTGCTAGATTGCTTCCATCCACCAGCCTGGAGTTCCTCTTTAAATTATGGGGTTCCATTTCCTTAGGTCTAACCTTCTCATTATTAGCCTTTTTATGAGCCAGGCAAGATGAGGCCCAATTATGATGAGAGGTGATCTTGGTTCTTAATGATGATGATGGGCTCTTCAGGTCTGGCCCAGTTGGCTTTAGAGATATTAGAGCTCAATAATGGTTGGGTTTGTGTTGATGAGGAGTTTGGGCTGCACGGCTAGGGTTTACTGTTAAGCCCAAGTCTTCTTCTCCTGTTTATTTCTTCTTCCAATGTTCGTGTTTCAGAGGGTATGACTCGTCAAAAATGACAGCAGCAGGTTCATAGCCGGTGTCCTCATCCTCATCAGCCTCTCGGTTTGTGCTGTCTCACTTATATTCTTTCTTCTGTTTTCCTGACCTTTTTCCTTTCTCCTGGACTTTCACTGACTGGGCCAACATTTGGGATTTGCATGTTCGAGTTCATTTTTTCCTTCGTCTTCCTCCTTCCTGAGGTCTGGATTCTGTGGTAACGTTCTCGTCAGGATTTCCCTCCATCAAATCTGAATCTAACGTTGCAAATCTCAAACCTTGGCGTTTAGGAGCTGGAACCCAAATCCTCTTCTGCCCTTTTTCTTTTTCCATAATCTAATGTAGAGCCGATTCTTTTGTTCCAATTCACTCATTGAGCTCGAGGAGCAGCTACCTTCTGCTCTTCAGTTGGTTGTTTTGACCTCGTGATTTTTCCTTCTCTGTCTCCCCAACTTTTGTTTTTGTTATTAGTTTTATTTTTTTCTTTCTTAGTATTTATATACATAAGTATTATTTATGTTAGTAATATATCCCACAGTTCCTTGCTACATGAATTATGTAATATTTCAACAAAAAAGTTACTGCCCATTAAATTCAACTTGAAGAAATTTATCTAATGTAGTTGATGTTATTTATCTTAAAATTATACACAAAATAAGTTTTATGAATAATTTTATTTTACGAAATCTGAGAACCATATGCTAGTAAATTATATCAGTTCATCTTCTATATATGGTGGGAATTTTTATGATAAGATTTTGAATTGTTTTTGAACTAGTGATGTCAATAAGAAATAAAATATTAGTTGTTAAAATTTGTGATTCTGTCAATAAACTTGAACGTTGGTAATGTGATTATGTTAATAGAGGTCCGAGTATTGGTTATTATGATTCTACAAATAGGAGTTAAAAAAACAATAATCATGTCAATATATCAATCAATTTAACACACAGCCGCGAAGCCTCACTGACTACTGTATGCCTATATTGGTGTATTTATACAAACTGGTCTTCTCTCTGCACGAGTATTTGTCTTGGTTGCTGAATTCAGGGAGTTTTCTATATATATATATATATATGCTGCGGCTACATTAAAGTGTATACATGATGCATGCATGGTAGCTGTAGCATTACTCCATCCCAGAAATCATTCACTCTCTGCGCCCATCCATGCCAGACACAGAGACAGCTACATCAAATCTACTCCCATAAAAAACTGTACAAGGTTAACATGCACAAATCATGTATCTAATCTGTTTTCATTTAAAATTTATTTAATTACTAATTAGGGTGGTAATTACTACATTTTTTACAAAAAAAAAAAAAATTGGGAATATAAATAATATTTATATTATAATTGATAAGTAAATGTGAAAGTAAAGAAAAAGTAAGATTGATGGATGTGGGAGGTAGTTGCAATTGGTTTCCTGAAAGACTACAGCTGTCTTGTAACCAAACCAATCTTTGTTTGGCTCCACAATCACTGGACTTCCCATTTCATAATAAATGAATCACTTTGTCTTCTTCTTTCGCTAACTCCCACCTTCAATTTCACTTCTCTCATCATTAAATATTCATCATTTTAAATTAAAATCTCAACCCAATATACGATTTGTGCAAGTTAATTGGAGACAAGTGATGGTGAAGTACGTCTAATTCAATTCAGGCGCAAGATTAGTTGGAGTGATCCCTTGTTAATTAATTATGTGTGTTTTAATCCTCTGCTTGTACTCTCTCTCTCTCTCTCTCTCTCTCTCTCTATATATATATATATATATGTATATATATTTATATTTATAGTGGATACACTGCATATCTGCAAGATATTTATATATGCAGCTGTAGCTGTTGAGAAAAGAGTTAAGATTAATGAAATAAGCATTCACGTGGAAAATACAGTGTCTAGGGACCAAGAAGGACAGAAGTTTTGTCCCAGATTTGTTAAACCTATAACCCTTATCCCATTTCCTTTTAATTAAATTGGATTTTTTTGGAGACACCACCTGCAATAAATAAAACCCTTTTTAGCTGTCTCTCACTCACCACGTACAGAGCTCCTGCCTGCCTTGTTATTTCATTGCCTTTTCTTTTCTTTCTTTTCTTTTTTTTTTTTTTTGTTTTTTATTTTTTCCATTCCCATGCTTTCTTCGAAAACCAAAATATAACCTCTTTAAGAGTTCTTCTTTGCAACCATTTAATTTTTATTAATTAAATTTTAGAATGTGATTGTTAGATTCTCTATGTATGTAAACTGATCCATTTTGACCAATGTTTTCACTACATGTGATACTCACGTGTAGAGAAGAAGAGGGAAGATCCCAATGGCTCTGTCGATATATATATATATATATGTATATGTATATTTATATACATAAAGAAAAAGAAAAAGAAAATGGGTACTTGCCATATTTAACTTATCTTCTTGGATCATTTTTTTATACTTTCCTCTATTATTCTATTCTTAAAACAGGAAACAATTGAATTGGAGTATAAATAAGGCAAGACAGATATTCCTAGGTCCACTACATATGCCCATGAGTTGGCGCTTCAAGTCCTATAAATCCCTATTACTACCTTGGTTAATTATTAATCAATGGATTCAAGTTATTAACTCAACTAAACAATCCATCAATATCGTGGTTTTTGTTTAGCCTCTATATCAATTAAAATTGAAATGCAAATCTATGAATTAATTATATTACTATATATTTCGTTGAATAATTAAAATTTACTAATAAAACTTTATATGTAGGCAATATATTTATAAAATAAGGTAATAGAACTCAATAGATTCCTGCATTAAAATCAAAATTCGATACTAAATTCTTACTGATTTTTAATAATAATATCCGACAAATTAGTGATGTCTGAGCCATGCTACAAATAATTGTAGAAAAACAAGCGAACCCAACAAGCCATGATGGTAAGATTTTCCAGTTTCATTGAAGGGTATTTTGCATATAAATATTGGTAGGGGCAGAACAGGGTTGACGGTGAATAAATTATTGAATACACAAACAAAAACCCTAATGAGTAAATAGATATACAAATTTAACTAAGTGATTCATGTATCAGTGATGATGTGTTGGCATGCACCATTTACTCACTCAGTAAATTTAATTTTTCCGTCACCTGCCGTCACTCTATTTAAACCATTACGTGCTTCTTCTTCTTTCAACAATCACTGGCTTGACTTGAGTGTCTTGCAATGGCTACCAAACCTCTCCCTTTCCTCTTTGCCACCCTCCTTTTACTCACTTCTTGTGTATGATCTCTCTCTCTCTCTCTCTCTCTCCTTCTCTTTTTTCTCTGCCTCAGCAAAATATAGTCAGTTTTTTTTTTTTTGGTGGCTTAATGTCTTTGTTTCTTTGCAGATTGGGTCCAATGAGGAGGAATTGAAGATACCTGTAAGTTGTAACAAATTAAAATGTTTGCTGCTGATTTCATTTTCTTCTCATTCTAGTGAAGATTTTTAATATGAACATGGGTTGTATGTATAGTTGTTCTGAAACTTTGGTATTTTGTAAAGGATGAGTCAGAAGCTTTAGCACACTACACCCTTTTAAGCAAACCCTTTTGTTTATTTACAAAATATGCTATTTAATATTGTAGCAAGAAAGAGAATTATTTTTTTCTTTTTTCTGTTTTAAATGGTTTTATGGAGATAAATTACAATCAGTTATACAATATTTTAAACTTAATCTATTCGATATGTTTATTTAATGGAAGTTTTTATTTTGTTGCAGGTTCCTTATTTGCCAAAGGTCCCAGTAGCAGCACCACCTCCAGCAAATATTCCAATAAAGGATCCTCATCCAGCACCTCCGGTCAAGCCACCAACTCCTGTACCCCCAGTCAGTAAGCCACCAACTCTTGCGCCACCAGTCACTAAACCACCAGTACCTCCGGTCAATCTACCAACTCCTGCTCCCCCAGTCAGTAAGCCACCAACCCCTTCACCTCCAGTCAGTAAACCACCAACCCCTTCACCTCCAGTCACTAAACCACCAGCACCTCCAATCAAGGCACCCAGCCCAGCACCACCGGTCCAGGTCCCAACTCCAGCACCACCAGTCAAGCCACCAACTCCTGTACCACCAGTAAACCCACCCACTCTTCCTCCCAGACCTCCTCCGGTCAGGACAAGATTGGGTAACATTTCTTTCATATCACTTGTATCCGTATTACGTGTATATAGTTAGACTTGCATTTTGTCCTAGGTGTTCCTTTAGAACTAATATATATCTGCTGTACGGTGATTTTGTTTAATTTGCAGATTGCTTCCCATTATGTGGACAGAGATGCAAACTACATTCGAGGAAGAATCTGTGTGTTAGAGCTTGTGTTACGTGTTGCAGCAGATGCAAATGTGTTCCACCAGGAACTTATGGAAACAGAGAGGTCTGTGGCAAGTGCTACACCGATATGACTACTCATGGCAACAGAATCAAGTGTCCTTGAAGCTCATGATATAATACATATATATATATATATTTATATAGGAGTCAAAAGCAGTCTGTAATACTTCTTTTTACTAGAGGGAAAAGAACATAAATATTTTTCCAGACACCTCTCTGCCACTGCTACAAGCTTAATATATATTGGTATTAATAGTGTTAAGGGGCCATGGCTTGAATTATGTCTTGTCTATTCAACGTTCAAATGTCAGTAGCAACTATTAATACATATATATATATATATATAGTAGATCATTGTTAATGTGATTGTTTAATTTTTCCTTCTTAAGGAAATTGTTCGAGTTCTCATTTCAACTGGTATATTTACTTAGTAACCCATTTCTTGATATGATGTGTGTATATGTTTTTATAGTATTAATTTCAGGTCTAACAATGTATTGAACTACTACAATGGGTATATTACAATGGCCAAAAATCTATTCGGAGAAAAAGAAAACATTGTAACAATCAAATTTCTCTGGTTAAAGAGTAGTGGGTGGGTGAAGGGAAAACAAGGATTTAGCCACGGGGGAAAATGGTTCGGTGCAGATTCCTGAAGCGTTGAGATGATGAGATGGGGATAATAGCAAGTTGGGTGTTGCAGGGGACGTGATAGTGTTAATTTCCATGAAGACAACTTCTTCACAAGGTTCTTTGCCTCGTGTTGCAGAAAAGAATATGGTCTCCTCCTTTTTTTCATACCTTTTTGTTTTCTTCTGTAATCTCTACTCCTTTTAATAAAATTGCAGTTTTAATCCTCGAGTACTCCAAATTGTTGTACCAAGTATACTAAAGTTTTGGGTACACACCCTTTCACCATCTGAGCCACTAACAAAAAAGTTTACAAAAAAAATAAATTCACAGAATAAAATTAAAAATCTCTAATATAAAATATTATAGCCGTTCGAGTTTGTGTATTTTAAAACAGAATAACTAAAATTAATTTAATTTAGAATTGAACAGGAGTAAATAAGTTAGACCAAATAATAGTTAGTAATAGTCTTCCCTCTAAAGATGGGGGGGGGATTGAATTGCTACAAGTTTAACAAAATTAAAAATTAAAAATTATTATTGTAAATTAACATTAAATAAGTTATTGTTTATTTTATTAATTGAAATATTATATATAAATTATTATTTGTTTTTAATTCAAGCAAGACATTTGACAATACTACATAAATAACACAAGTTTATTACTAAATCTAATACAAAACTATTCGCTCCATATTTTTTTTTTAAGTCAAAACTGACTTGACCGTTTAAATTATTCTTTGATTTTAGTAAAAAAAAAAATGTTAAATTTTTTTTAAACTTTACTTATTTTAAATTGACCAGCACCGCTTGTCGAGCTACCAACTTCTAGCTCGAGCCTCCCAGGCGTCCTTGAGTTACGACAAGATTGAGATTGGGTATTTCATTCTTTTCTCACTTGGATACTCTTATATGTGTGTGTGTGTGTGGATTTTCTTTAAGTCCTGGGTGTCTTCTTGAAAATAATCTATGCGTATGGTGATTTTGTTTAATGGGCAGATTGCTTCCCATTATGTGAAGAGAGATGCAAGCTGCACTTCAAGGAAGAAGCTGTGTGTCAGAGCTTGTATTACGTGCTGCAGCAGATGCAAATGTGTCCCCCACCGGGAACATATGGAAACAGAGAGATTTCAAAAGCATACCGTAATACTTTTTTTTCTAGAGAGGCAGAAGAAAATAAATGGTCTTCCAAGTCACCTCTCTCTGCCACTGCTACTGGCTTAATATCTTGGCATTAGTAAGTTTTGCACGCCATTTTGTCTAATTCAATTCTCAAATACATTCTGGTAGTATCTAAATTCTCAAATATTTTATATATTTAAAGATTTATTTGAAAATTGTAAAACATGACACTACTAATTTCAGTAGTAGCACGGTTCCTTCTTAATTTATATAATATAACTTTTAGTTGGAAACAATTTTTCTTAAAAAAAAAAATAACATATTTTGAAAATATATAAAAATTATTATATATCAATTTCTATCTCTTAAATAATTTTTTTTATTTAATATGACAATATATATAATAGTTACATGTTTAAATTATAAATTGTTTATTAAATAAAGTTAAATATTAAAGTAATTTTTTATTAATAATTATTTATTTAATTTTTTAAATATGGAATAAAATTAAATTTTTTTTTAATTAATTACGAAATCAATGAACATCAAGAATAAGATTAATATTGTAACATTTTTATGTTAGTTAAATTGTTAATTGACTATAACTCATTACCACGCAAATATTTATTAAAAAAAAATTAGTGATAACATGGAATACAAATATAATTTATACTTTTAAAGTAATAAAATTTATTTATATTTTTATATCTCATTCATTATCTAAATCTTTCACAAAAAAATTAATACATGATAATAAAATATTTTTTATATTTTTATTAAAAATTATATATAATTTTTATTCATAAAATAATATTTATGTTTTTTATAATTATAAAAATATTTTTAAAAATTTATTTGTACGTGAATAATATAAAAATTTAGTTACATTTAAATTTGGACCGGAATACAATTTCTACATCTAATTTTTATGGAATAATTTTCTATAATTTATGTATTTACTATGTTATTTCAAAAAATGCAATTTTTAGTAAAAAAAAAAATTATATTGGGTTTGAGCTCAAAACTAATTTTGATATTATCTAAAATTTTCATTAAAAAAAAATTAAGATATTTAAATTTTTATTTAAAAAATAAATATTGTTATTCATGATAATTAATTGGTCTTATGAACTGAGTCTTTTTTTTTTTTTTTTCGCTTTATAAAAAAGCTGGGTTAATTCTTATTCAAGATTTGGTGAAATTACCATCTCAGGTCGACTTTTCTTCTCTTCGTGATTCAGATCAACAGTTGCGGCGGCCCATTTGATGACAAGATAAACAAAACCCACTCGGCGGAGCTAATACCAGAATGCAGAAAGCATGAGAGGCAACGGGATCTTGGGGATCAATGACTTGGACCACAGCAGGGCAACTTTGAGCAGAAGAAAGAAATGGCTACAGAGACGAGAGATATGGCTTGTGATTCTTGGCGTAGTCCTACACGCAGTATACATGCTCAGTATCTTCGATATCTATTTCAAGACACCGATTGTTCACGGAATGGATCCTGTCTCCCCTCGATTCGCCGCGCCTGCAAAACGCCTCGTGCTTCTTGTTGGTATGATCTCTCGCTCGGACCACCCATAGTCCTTGCGCTTACTTATAATACATGATTTGTTAGGGGGAGACTATTTCGAGTTAGTATTTTCTCTGCGGTTAAGAAAGCCTTTTAGTAGTTTTAAGTATGAATTCGTTCGTGGTGTTCTCTTGTTGACTTTGAAGTATTTATTGTGAGATATGGGATTGACATACTTTAGTATAAATCGGGTTTAAAATGTTTTTTCGTGTTTTAAGTACAGCTGTTGCTTATGAGAAATGGGACAGACCCACGTCAATGCGAATGAAATTTACGACGTTTAATCGCGTTTTAGTATGTTTCAAAAGAGGTTTTATGTTCTGCATTTGGAGACATTGTCACTAATTTTGAATATTTTTGTATCTCGGGTCTATTGGATGTTTCTGCTTGCGTTTTGGTTGCATTTTTAAAAAGGATTATCTTGTTTCTCTATATGGAAATTGTTATCATTATTTTAATATTAAACATTTTATTCTGTCCAGTTTTATTTTGAGTGGTTTACAGTGGTTAATCTAACTGGCTAGTTCTGTTGTGAGTGATTACTTTGATTAATTTAACTGGCAAAAGTAATAATGAGGGCCTTGGAATGGAATTCTATCATTTTTGTTCATTGTGAAGTTTGTTTTCGAGATATCATCCTTAGAATCTGGAAATTTCCATACAGTTTTTATGATTGATTCTTGATTTTCTTTTGTTAAAATGGTGACGCCAGCGGATGGTTTACGCGCTGACAAATTCTATGAGGCAGATTCAGAAGGAAATTACCGAGCACCTTTTCTGAGAAGTGTAATTAATAACCAAGGTCGGTGGGGAGTCTCTCATGCTCGGCCTCCTACAGAATCAAGGCCTGGACATGTTTCTATCATAGCTGGTTTCTATGAGGATCCTAGTGCAGTTACAAAAGGTTGTCTCTTATGGCTTTTTCCCTCTTTTTCGTGGTTCCTTACTGATATCATAGAATGTGTATATGAGCACAGGCACCTAGTAAATGTTGTCTTCTTTCTTTCATACAACTATATCAATGTTATACATACACACCCACACATAGCCAGGTGTGCGTATTGCACCAATGACGACCCACTTAAAGTGCATTGATGGTTTGCATCCCGTTCTCTCTGCTAACGTAGTTAACAATCTTATATTACATCCTCAGGGTGGAAAGCTAATCCAGTTGAATTTGATTCTGTTTTTAACCGGAGCCGGCACACATTTGCTTTTGGTAGTCCAGATATTGTTCCAATCTTTTGTGGTGCCTTGTCACACAGTACATGGAATAGTTATTCTCACGAGCTTGAAGATTTTGCTACTGGTTAGTTCACAATCTCAGAAAACAATTTACTTACTCTTATCTTTTTTGTGAGATAATTTACTTACTCTTATCTGGATGCCGATACCAGATATATTTTTTATTGGAAAACCTTTTTAAAGAACTTCACAGCGAAATGTTTAGCATTATGAATCATTCCCTCATCTGCAAGCATACTGCTTCTTTGCCCCCATTATGTACAGTGGTTGCTTACTTTCTTCCGAAATATAACTGATATCCATACTTTATCCATCATTTGTGTTCTACTTTCCAGTTGCATTTGTGAGACATTTATAAAAAAATGCAAATTTATAAACTTTTGGGCTTATAGTTTAAATCCACTTTCTTCTGATAATGATAGCACTTATTTATTTATTTATTTATAATCTGTGTCAAATTAATTTAACTTACTTTCTTAGGAACTTGTTAATATATCCTGTATCATTTGCTTTTAGGTATATAGTTATTCTAAGAAAAAGTGTTGTCCAAACATGACAGTATGGTAGTAATAGGAACTGAGATGAGGGTCTGTGCAGAAGAGATCCTACAATTTAAACTTTTTCAGTTCTTTATCTGTTCAATAGTGGTAATGCAGATGCCTCCTTTTTGGATGAGTGGTCTTTTGATCAATTTCAGAGCCTTCTGAATAGGTCCCATGAAGACCCAAAGTTGAAGGAGCTACTTCTACGGGATAAGCTTGTGATTTTTCTCCACTTACTTGGCTGTGATTCGAATGGCCATGCACATCGACCTTACTCTTCTATTTATCTCAATAATGTTAAGGTTGTTGATCATGTAGCCAAACGGGTTTACAATCTTTTGGAAGGTTATTTCAAGGACAACCGGACAGCATATATTTTCACAGCTGATCATGGGATGAGTGACAAAGGTTGGATATTAATATTTGTATTTGCAATGTTGTTTTGCTTCTTCTGCAAAGATTTTGGAGTTTATGTGCTCGTAGATTCACCTACCATTGTTGACACAACTTTGTTTTACTGATAGGAAGTCATGGAGATGGGCATCCTACAAACACTGATACTCCCCTTGTTGCTTGGGGGGCAGGCATTAAATATCCCAAGCCATCTAGCTTTGATCATTCTGGCTCTCATCTTCGTTATATTGATGAACATGCACATGACATGGCAACACCTATGGAATGGGGGCTTAAAGATGTTGAAAGGGTGGATGTTAATCAAGCGGATATTGCCCCACTTATGGTTGTAGTTTTACCTCCTGAAATTATCTCCTCGAAGCAAAATTCACTTTCAGACCTTCTTATATTTGTCTAATGTTTTTTGACTTTGTTGGCAGTCAACTCTTCTTGGTTTGCCATGCCCTGTTAATTCAGTTGGGAGTTTACCCCTCAGTTATATTAATATGAATGAGGTGAGCTCTATTTTATTACAATTCAAATGTGCTTATCGAACGGTAATAATTGATACACATGCTTTCACAGACAGAAGACAGCAGCTTTGTCTTTTGAAACTTTTTAACCTAGGAATTGATTTACTGCTACTTTAATAATTTAGATGTCATCTTTACTTTTTTTTTATAATAAGAAAAGTAAGAATTCAACTTTTTGCATGAAAGGTCCATGACACGATTTACTCTAAAGTGAATGTAAAAGATTTAGGCTGACACAAACAACATCTCTGTTGTCATGACCAGGCAGAAGAAGTGGAAGCAGTGCTAGCCAATACAAAGCAAATTCTTAACCAGTTCCTTCGTAAATCACGTATCCTTCTTGTGTACCAATTATAGGAGAGTACCAGGCACTGCCTTTAAGCTTATGTATCAAAGTGTTAAATTGTTTAATGATGTTTTTTCCCACGAACAATTATTTTGTAGTTGGTAATCTAGCAGGACAGTATTTGCCCAAAGAGGTTCTAGTATGGAAGTTCTACTGACGACTATTTTACTTTCTGCAGTGCGGACTTGCCATTATGGACCTGCTTCTTTATTTTTGTGATTTTAATCAGTAAATATGTCTAGCCAAAGTTCAGGATTTAGGCTAGTTTAGTTGTATATAATATATTTCTGGTGGAATTCGTAAATATATGTCTATGCCTGTATTCCTTTCCATATCTTCTGTTCTAATTTCTTTGCCATGTTCCTTGGGATCGAGATTTTTTTTGTTCTTGACAAACAT